CTCCAATGAGAGGCACTAGACTCCTGTCCATTCCTAGCCACGCTACGTTGTCTCACGCTTGTCTACAACTTCTTTCACTGTGTTTCCTGGTATTGACATGTTCTGAATATTGTGTTTTACAGTTCTCTCCTGATTCATCTATAAAAACCTATGTTATATCCCGTGTTTACTGGATTCAGTGATTATCTTTCTTTATCTACTTCTTCTTTTTGGCAGAACATATCCTCTGATACATTCCGAGAAAAAGCTCATTGGAGTTAAAGCTTTTGAAGATTTGCAGTTCTGAAATATCTTTATTTGTCTTCATGCTCAAATGATAGTTGACTGCATATAGAATTATATTGGTATGCAATTATAGGTTGGAGCCTCTGAATTTTTAGTATTACTCCTGTGTCTTCAGTCTTGTGTTGATTCGATTTTTATTCCCCATCCTTGGACCTGACTTAGTGTTTCTTTCTGAAAGGAAGAACTTTCTTTAGGATGATGTTCTAGAAAGTCACAAAAATGTGTTTCAATGCGGGAAGCGAATGGCCATTCAATTTCATATACTTCATTTCTAGGAAATTTTCTTATAGTATTTCTTTGGTGGTTTTCTTTCTACCATGATCTCCCTCATTCTGGAATCTTATTAGTTGGATATTCTGGATGGATGCTTTAACATTATTTTCTTTTCTCTCATATTTCTTTATTTTTCCTACTACTTTTACACTACCATTGTTCCACTATTTTATTTTGTCTTCCACTCCTTTATTATTTTTTCAGCTGTCATAGTTTTAATTTTTCCAGAGCTCCTTTTAGTACTTTGAACATTTATTAAGCCATGTAGAGAATAAAAGATTTTAGTAATCAGGGCCTTTTGAAGACCCTTGAAGGTATTTCATCAGAGAAAGGTCTGCCTGGACCAGAAAACCTGGACCAATTCTAGAGGAGTATGAGTCAATTCAGAACTTTCTTATCTTCCCGTCTCTCTCCTTTTCTTATGCCCTAACAAGGTCAGAAAATATGTTTAGTAGCTGGGAGAAAAAAAGTAGAAGTAAAGGAAAGAAGGAAGAAGTCTTAATTTTGAGTCAATGTACTCTTAATTATTTTACAGGCCTGAACATTCTAGTTTCTGAATGAAGACATTGAACTTCACATCATAGGAAATGAAAATCTCTGAAGTTTTGCTTTAGTGAGCTTATGACAAAACCAGAGCTTTGTGTTCAGAATACAGACCTTGTCATAGAGAGTGAGATGGCTGCAGGGAGAAGATACTTGAGGAGAGCCCAGACAGAGTGTGATAGGCCTTGTCCAGGGGAAGAATTTAGAGGCCTCAAGGAGAAAGTCAGGACTCTGCATGAGTCAGTCCTTTGTACTTGGTTAAACTGAATTTATGAGTTTGAACCAGAGTTTCTTAAAAATGAGTGATATCTTCAACAGAGAAAAATCCAGGAGGCAAATCAAACAGAGAGTTGACACTAGATATAATTTGACTTTGAGCTGCCGAAAGCTCTGGGGGAATGTGTCCAGTGGGGATTGAAATATAGGCCCTGCTCCCTTTATAGTCATTTGCTGCATTGCAGACACCTCTGACTGTGGAGTCTTTGTGTGTTTTGGTACAATATACATAACATCAAATTTACCATTGTGACCATATTTAAGTATATGATCCAGTTGCATTAAGTTCATTCACAATGCTCACTACTGTCCATTTCCAGAAACTCATCATCATCCCAAACAGAAAGTCTGTACCCATTCCACAGTAACTAAACCTCTCTCCTCCCAACCCTAGCTTTTTGAGTCTTGCGTTATCCCGCCTCATGCTCTTAAACAACAGCCTATGAAGAAAATTCTCCTGTGTGAGACCCTAAATTTACTAGTTTTATAAAGTGAAACTAATGAATGACCTGCAATTACCAGATATGAAGAGCTATAGAAATTGCCAAGGAAAGGTCTCAAGGTGACCACCTTGGTGATGCTGGGGGCTCTTGACTCTTGTGGAGAGTCTGGTCTTCCTCCCTATTCACTTGCTTGCTGCCTCTCTGGGAGGTGGAAGTGAGGAGATGGGGACAACGTGGGTTCTCCTTGCAGAGATACCGATGTAAATGGGGCCTGGGCATTATTTGCTTTTGAAATCTTCCCAGCTGATTCTAACACAGAGTCAGGGTTAAGGAACACTGGATAGGACATTCTTCATCCCCACGGTCAGTGATGGGAACATCTTTTACCTTCCTGGAGAGTAGTAAGGACTAAGTGAGATAGAACAGATAGACCTTCCAGGATAATGTCCAGACCATAGGGCTGCTTGATGCATGTGAACCCTCAGTGTTTTAGAAATAATAATTATGGCTGATAATATTTGCTGTTCTATATTATTAATTTTTCAATATAAGCTCAAAACAACTCTGTGATATGAATATTATATCACAGAAAGAAAAAGTGATAATGGAGGGAGGTGTATATCTGTCTGTGTGCACATGTGTGTGTTTGTGTGCCTGTGTGAACGTGACTGTGCGTTTGTCTGTGTGTATGTCCGTGTCTGTGTGTGTGTTAGAGTGTGTGTGTGTATGGGTTTGTGCAAGTGTGTGTGAAAATACGTAACTCTGTGTGTGCTGTTGAGCGTAAAATATGTGTCTTTGTCAAAGGTTTATTTTAGAATGTAAGAGTCAGAGAGGGCTTCAGAGAGGAGGAGACATGAAATGGACACTACACATAATACGCCAGCTGTCCTGTGCAGGGAAGGATATAGAGCCAAAGGGGATACCACATGCCCTGGTGCAAGGGTGTGATTCAACATGATGCATAAGCGAATGAAACGTAGACCATGATGACTTAGCACAGAATCCTTCGTGAACAGGAAGATGAGGTTGGAGGGCTGCCCAGGGACTGGATCTTGGAAGTCCTTGTGTGCAGCGCCAATGATGGGACTAGATCCTCCAGCTGTGATTCCAATCTGGGTTTTTCAGGGTGTTGCAAGAGCTCCATGAATCCTTGTGTCCACTGAACACAGTATGTAGACTGAATATGTAATGTGTTTCATAAAGTAAGGACTAATTTAAGTGTACGTATTTCTTGATGCGAATAAACATACACATGTATTGTAAAAGCATGCTGATAAATGATAATAGTAGATAACTGTTATCTTCTATTTCTCAGTCAAGAAGTTGTATAAAAATCCCTACTACCTGTAACTTGAGAGTGAGTTTAGGATTAATAATAACTCCTCTTGTGTGAAACATTTGGAAACATGTGCCCACTACTATTTCAGGGTTACCGAAGAGAGATCAGGACCATGTTTTGGTTTTAGGAGGGTCATTTTTGTGTCAATGAGGCGGATGTATTGTATGAAGGGTATCTCAGCCCAGGAGACCATTTAGAAGAACTTTGCACAAGCTGGAAGGACTAGGACAGGATTGTGATGATGGCTGTGGGGAGTGAAAGGAGGGGATGCTCAGAAGTGATGCTGTGGCAGGGGAGGGGGTAGGACTTTATGGACTCTTAGATGTCAGGAGGGAAATGAACTATATTAAACTCACTACACTCCCCAAAATATTCACATCCTCATCCCTGGAACTTGGTATTCTTCCTTGGAAAAAAGACTTTGCAGATGTGATAAAGTTACAGATTTTGAGACGGGGAGATTCACCTGAATTTCCTAGTGTCTTCTAAATGCAATCCCATATATTTTATATGAAGGAGGCAGAAGATTAGACACACTCAGAAAAGGAGGAGGGAATGTGACCTTAAGCGACAAAGATTGGAGTATGTGGCTACAATTCAGGATAGCCATCAGCCATTAAAGCTGGAAGCAGCTATGAGATTTTCATCTCCACTTTTCAGAGGGAACAATGATTTCGATTGCTGACACAATGATTTTGGAGAGTGTTACAGAGTTTGGACTTCTGTCTTCCAAACTTTGAGGAACTAAGCTGATTTAAACCACCAAATGTGTGGTTGTGTGTCACAGCAGCTGCTGGAAACTAACCCAGAACCTATGATGCATCCAAGTTTTCTGGGTCAGCTGCCTCATTGGGTGGTGGTTCCATTAACCAGGGTTGGGGGAGGGGTGGCACATGTGGAAGAGGAGTAGGTTGTGGGAAGACTGTGAATTCAATTTTGTATATTCCTTCAGAAATAACTGTGGAGTGCTTGAATGAAGTTGTCCAAATGGCAGCTGGGTGCTTGTTTCTGGAGCTCTTGGGAGAATGTGAGGGATGAAAAATTAGCCTGAGGTGTTGGTGAATGGTGTAGACGTTGATGAGCCATGTGAGTGAGTGTGCAGAGTGAAAAAGAGTTAAGTGAAATTGAACCCTTGATATTCACTAAAATTGAGAGGTAGATGAAAACAAATTATGCGGGACAGTTCATAGGATTGAAACTACGGTGAAGGGGTGAGGACCAAATAGGTTATGATGAGGATAAAATATTAGCAATGCTGCTGTTTGCGAACCATGTGACTGGCCAGATTGTTAGAATCCAAGTATCGCTTAGTAAAGACCAGTAGCAGGAACTTTTTTAAAAAATGCTTTTTGGTGAGGAAGATTGGCCCTGAGCTAACATCTGTTGCCAATCTTCTTGTTTTTCTTTTTTCTTCCCAAAGCCCCAGTACAGAGTTGTATATTCTAGTTTTAAGTTCTTCTATGTGGGATGCCACCACGGCATGGCTTAATGAGCGGTGTATATGTCCATGCCCAGGATCCGAACCAGTGAAGCCCCAGGCTACCTATCAAACGAACTTAACCACTGTGTCACCTGGCCGGCCCCAGAAGGAACGTTTTAATTGCTTTTTACCCTGACCATGGTTTTTACCCATGGCAACATAAATGGGAACTCTGTAAAGTAATGCAGCTTGATTCATGACAAACATTTCCTCTTGTGATCCCTGCACCTCAGGCTGCCATGGGTAACTGGAGGTTGGGGTTTTGAAATTTACTAGTGATGACACCCTGGCCCCTTCATGATGAAAACCACCTCAAGTCGAGTCTAGAGACTGTTGGATAATGACAAGACAAGTAGAGAAGTGCAGGGCAAGTAATTTATTGAAGCAAGATGTTGAAACCTTTGCATTTTCCAAGAAAGAGCAGGCGATCATTGCGAGACAGGGGTATTACGGTAGGAGACTTGATAAACCAAGGCGAGTACACTTCAATGATAATTTTGCCTGAAATAGAAAAATAAAGAAAGAAATGGGAGATCAGTCATGCTGATCCTGGAGATGACACATTAACATAGACCATTGTCCCACTAAGACGTCAATGAAATTTCAGCCAACAAAAGGCAAATGAGAGATAACAGGCAGGACCCCAGAGTGCAGTAAACTAAATAGACCTGATACAGTTACAACCAACCATGCAAATCAAGAAAGAACCATTTCCATAGTCCAGCAACTAAACCCGGAGGTGACCTGAGAGTAGGACTCAGGTTTCTATGGAAGGAGCGGGTTGAAAGGTTGGACGGAGCAGCCCAGAATTTCTTTTTTCTGATTTTCCAGGACAGAGGACTCTACTATTTCACTCTAAAGGGGATACAGGGTTGAGCAATGGAGACAGGGGTGGCAGAGGACATAGGAAGTACTGCTTTCAGGAGATTCCTAGCCTCGGGATGTGGCAATTCAACCTGATGGCACATGTGCTTCTCAGCACTGAGAATCCAGCCTCTGTGGGCATTTGCAGCTGAACCTTATGACCCACATCAAGTGGTGGATGGGCTGAGAGATACATTTCACTATCTGGTTTCTTGATAAAGACATAATTTAAGCGTTTCACCTTCACATGTGGCTGTAGGAGACATAACAAGGAGTAGAAAGGTGGACCAAGGAGCAAGGAGTTGGCCTTGGCTCTGCAGAAGCTGGCAGAGAACCTAGGAAGCACCCCCTCCTTTCTGACAGTTGGCAGGGGGTAGTTTCCTCCCTCCCACCTGTCTCCCCATTCCACACTCCCCACACTCCCGATGAGATTCCACAGGGACTGTGTCCACTGGGTGAGGGGACTCGCCCTCAGGAAAGCTCCCAGGCAGAGAGGCAGCAGTACTTTGGCCCTTCAACATCACTGCATGGGGCCCCGGGTGTCCTCCTCCTCAGGACACTATGGGGAGCCTGGTGCCCAGAAAGAGGACCTGAGAAGGAGGAACAGGCCCAGATGCTCTGTGAGCCTGAGTACAGCTCAGCAGATGTAATGTTATCATCCACCCTTTGGCCACTGGTCACCCATCAGAGATGAGCAGTGAGGCAGGTGCCTCCACCATTTGTCCCAGTCAAGAGCAGAACCCTGACCTCCTCCTTGGCTGTTCTTCTGATCAGAATTCTCTATGCACAAAGAAGAAAGAATTACCAATATCTCTGAAATTATCAATCTGTTCTTCAAGGTGATATTATTTGTGCATTGCTTCACTTGCAGCTTGGCCTCAATAAGTTCATCAGGTGCATTGTATTTCTGAAGTTGTGCCTTGTAGGGTAAGTCAGGAACGAATAGAAAGGCTGCGAGATCAGTAAAAACGGATGGACAGATGATATCAGTGGCTGGAGTGGAAGAAAAAGAAATACAATTAATGTGAGGAAAGGCAATTTTTCCTATGGTGCCTGATGTTAGAACTATACAGGAAACCCAGGATTTTATATTCCCATCTCATCATTGAGCTGATAATAATGTGAGGCCCTCAAGCTCATGATGTTTTCAAGGTCATACTGCAAGCGGCAGAGCTGGGACTGAATGCCAGGTTTCTTGATGCCTAATTCCTTTTTTTCAAGCTCATGCCACTGCTTTCCAAGACTTATCTGGCTTGCTGAAATTCACTTTCCCTAGATTTGAAGAATATTACGTTTTGCCTGCTAATAGAGTGTTGCCTTCTCTATCTTACATATTGGGCAAGAGGAGATTTTTGATAATATAATTGCAAATAAATGGTAGATTCAGAACCTTACCAGAGACCATAAGGGAGAGTAAATTTGGAAAAGAGTAAGTAAACCATTCAAACATTGGAAGATGCTATTTTGAGACCATCGTGAAGAATAGGATTGTGTTGTTGGATACGGACATAGCTAAAAGGCTAAAAAAGATAAATCTAATCACTTTGAACACATTTGAAACTCATGCACAAGGTTATCACTGGCTCTTTTATTCTGCCGTGATGTTTAGAATTCCTCAGAGAGGATGAGAGGTGGGAAGTGTGGCTCATTCCTGACTCCAGTGGAATTGTGCTGACTTACAGTAACTGCTTTTCCTGGTCTGGCTTCTCCATCCCCGAAAGTGTTTGCAATCAGCCTGCAACCTGGGATGTGCCCTACCAGCCTCTGATCTGACCCCTGGCCAGACTTCAAACTAGGCAAAGAATTTGGAGAGGATAAAGTCAGAGGCCACACTGGGAAAGAGGTGGACATTTAGCAAGTCAGATGATCGAGAAACACTCCACAAAAATGGGTCAGTATCAAGCGCATGAAGACATGCAAAAGTATTGTTGACTGAATGGCTAGAATTAATCTAGAAAAACACAAATTGTAGCCCTAATCGCTGTACTAGTCCTAGTCCAATTCCTGGTGGTAATCCTAGAAAACTAGTAGAAAACTGGTAGTACTTGTAGTACATTGAGTGCTGCTTATTCACAGACCCCATTTGAAGATTGATAATTCTGAGAACACTGGCTCTTCTCTTTCTTTTTTTAAGATTGGCACCTGAGCAAACATCTGTTGCCAATCTTTTGTTTTTTTTCCTTCTTCTCCCCAAAGCCCGCCAGTACATAATTGTATATTCTAGTTGTAGGGCCTTTGGTTTTCCTGTGCGGGAGGCTGCCTCAGCATGGCTTGATGAGCGGTGCTAGGTCTGTGTCCAGGATGTGAACTGGTGAAACTCTGGGCCACTGAAGCGGATCCTGCGAACTTAACTGCTCAGCCACAGGGCCAGCCCCATACTGGCTCTTCCTCAACTGAAGATGCTCCAAAAATTCTTCCAGCTGTAAGTGTTTATGAATCTGAAACTATGAGTTAAAAAGCTGTGGGGGCTGACCCAGTGGCACAGTGGTTAAGTTTGTGCTCTCTGCTGCAGCGGCCTGGGGTTTGCTGGTTTGGATCCCAGGCGCAGACATAGGTACTGCTTATCAAGCCACACTGTGGCAGGCATCCTACATATAAAATAGAGGAAGATGGGCAAGGATGTTAGCTCAGGGACAATCTTCCTCAGCAAAAAAAAAAAAAAAAAAAAAAAAAAGAGGGGGATTGGCAGCAGATGTTAGCTCAGAGCTAATCTTCCTCAACAAGAAAAAAAGCTGCAGACTCAATTGGCACCTAAAAAACTCTGGAAGGTGAACATCTGATAACTACGAGATGTCAGCTCAATATCTAGAGCTGGACTCCTGACACACTTCATCCCACTCCATGGTCATAGCTACTCTTGGTGGTAGCCATAAAAGCTGTGACAAGAGGAGACTTAGGGAGTTTAAGCATTTTGTTCAAAATATCTGTAAGTGGCAGAGCCATGGTTCACATCCATCTCATGATGTCATGCAGCTTCTCAAACAGAGATCACAGACAAGGAGTCAAGCTCCTTAACATCTGCCTGCAATGACTTCTTGTAAAATTTTCATAGTATTGGGATTTGATAAAATGCACCTTGGACTTTTGGGGGGCTAGTTCACAAATAGAGGAAAAAGTCGGGAGTTTGATCTGATCACCCCAGTTCAGTTCACCCAGTTCAGACAAAGGTTACTTACTACAGCTGGTGCTGGACTGATTAGGAATGATACTCACCCCCATAGCTGCAAAGGGCCAGAGTGACCAGCAGGACAGACAGGGACAGCCTCATGGTGGTTCGGTTGCTTTGAGCTTTCGGCTTTAGCAAACAGTGAGCTATTATGAGCTGCACTCAGGAGCCTGGGGAGTCCAGGGCTATGTGTACTTGGAGAGCTTCGCTGGTCCTGCCCACATGGCACATGGCAGGTCACAAGGTCTGGCTTCCAGCCCTTCCTTCTGACTCCTCCCTTTCCCTGGAGGGTTATGCCATCCATCTGTGTCACATTGCCCTGGCCTCCCTTCTTCCTGAGTGGGGAACCGCAGGAAATCAGCCCTGAGGGATTCTGCTCTGTCCTCCAGGAGGGCGTTCAGCCACCTCTGGAAATGTTTCCTGTTTGCCTTTGACCTTTTGATCCTTGGACCTTTGTTTTTTGTGTTAGTGCAGAGGCACAGGTGTATTCTGACTTCAGGAGGGCAGATCCAGGGACTGGGAAGCTGGGGGCTGCACTTTGTTTACAGAGACAGGCTCCTAGGGAGACCTAATTTGACCCCTCCTCTGCATGCTGATAACTGACCTGGTTCAAGTGCACACTGATCAAGTCTGAACAAGAATTGTCTTCTCCCTCAGCTCGTCTTCCATCACCTTTGTCTTCACACAGAAGTACCTTAAAACACTATTGAACACGTTCTACCCTTGGATACCTTCTTTGGGGAAAAACTCCTTTGTCTGTTCTCTCCCTGGCTCATTCCAAGCCCAGAGACTTTGTTTCTGGTGGAGATGACAACAATGAGGAGGTTCACATTTTCAGTCCACAAAGAGCAAGGCTACCATGATGACTAGCCACCCACATATCATCTTAGGCTGATGTGATGATTAAATGAACTCAATGCTCTTTTTTCCCCAAGGAGTTCTGGGGTGTCAGGAGCCAGACAAGCATCACAAGTGTGGAGTTTCTCTGCTCTTGGGCTCTAGGCAGGGAAGAATGAAGAGACAGGTGAACAGAGTGAGTGCACACTTCCCCTTCCTCCGTGAGCTCGAGTCTTCTATTTAAACAGAGCTTTGCTACCTGGGTCAATTTCATTTTTAATGGAGGTGAAGGCAGCACCCAGCTAAAGCAATACGCTCCCCACCCACCACTCCACTCTTGTGCTATCCTGCTGTGTGTGAGTAGGAAGCATTTTCTTTCATCAGAAATTACCCGCTTAAATGAAAGCATATTTGAGAGGACTTACACTCCTGGCCAGAGGTTTGCAGACTCAATAGAACAATCAAATCACTTGGGAGCTTTTAAAAAATATGGATTGGCTGGCTCCCCTCTCTAGATTTTGATTCAGTAGGCCTGAGGTGATGCCCAGACACCTGTACTATTCAAACTCCACTGGTGATTCTGTGCAGGCAGTAGGACTGAGAAGCACCACGAAAGTCCTTTATTAACAAGAGGCATGTTTATCAGTTGTGTTATCAGTGAGCACATTGCAGTGTTTGCATAATCCCAGCTGAGGGCCACAGTGGTACCCACATCAATTTCACAGGATGGTGGGCGTTCCTGTAGGCAGCTCTGCCTCCGCCACCATGAGCATGGTGGTGAGGACCACAGAGACCTGGGTTCAGATTGTTTGTAGGCTCAGACTTTAAGAAATTTAAGACCTATAGAAATTCAAGGAAGAACAAACTCCTTATGAGCTGTGAACTCTTCAGGAAGGAAGCCTTCATGTGGAGGTGATGACTGAGTTTTGTCTTGAAGGACAAACTGGATGAGAATGACAGAACAGAGAAAATATGAGGAGCTTCCAGGCAGAGGCATAGCCGTGAAGCTGAGCTCCGCACCCTAGAGAATTACAGATGCCCACACTCCTGCCAGAGTCTGTCTGCCCCGGGGCTCCACTCTGTCCACTCACTGTGAGGCTACCTCATACTACTGACCTTTCACCAGGATGGCAAATGCTTTTAAATATTTCTTGATGCCGTAGTTTCTCAACCATGGCTTTATTGACATCAGAGGCTAAAGGATTCTTTTTTGAGTGGATATGTCAAGCATCGCAGGTTGTTTGGCAGCATCCCTGGGCTCTACCCTCTTGATGCCAATAGGACACCACACACACTGTGAAGACAACACAAACATCTCTGGACACTGACAATGTCCACAGGGGTGGATGGAAGGAGGGAGTAAATCAGCCCCAGAATAGAATCACTGCTGTAGCAGTGGAAATACTTTATATGACATCCTCCATACACTCCTTGTAATGCCCATAGGGACCACAGGTTCACGATTGTGGATGCTGACAGACTGCAAGAAAATGTGGGCATGCAGTGGAGGGAAAATTACTAACAAATAGAGAACATATTGGTGTAGTTACCTAATGAACCATGCGGCTGTCACATGTATATGGGATGAAATATTTAAACACACATTTTATGGAAATGTCAACTTGTGTAAAGTTCAGGGTTTTCGTGAATGAGCCAAGGATAATTACCCGGGACTGACGCCTGATCCTTCCCCAGCTGCCAAATACGGCTCACTGTCCCAAGTCGTTAGATGGATGTGGTTTATATTGGATCAAGGTAATGGGTACTTCTGGGGAACAAGGAGACCCAGGTGGCCCAGGCCCTGAGGGCATGGGCTCTAACTTCCTCCTCTCCTCATCTGCCTCCTCTCTGTTGTGACTTCAAAGTCCTCATCCAGGAACAGAATGAAGGTGGTGTCGGCACCAGGATGTCATGCTGACGTCTGGTTTTAGTGTTGGGGTTGATCCCTAAAGATCAAAGATTCAACTTTAAATGAGATTCTCTCTCTAAATAGATGGAATAGTGAAACAAGTAATATAATCAATGAATTCTTTGTAAAAATTCAAAATATGTCCTGAAAGGCAGTTACACAACAATTATTTAAGCAGCTACATGTTGACTATTGTCACACAAAGACCAGGGGTGCACAGGCCATGTCCTCAAGGAGCGTGAACAGAGAGGAAAGGGCCATGGGATCAGGTCCTGTGATGTCAGGAGAGAGCTGCACATGGAGAGCCATAGGGTCCTGGGAAGGGAGCTCCCTGGAGATTTGGGGCCAGGAAAGGGCACAGGAAGTGGGCTGTCTTTGATGTGGCAGTGGGAATGAACAAGGAGTTTCACTTTAGTGGGACTGAGGTGAGGACAGTGAGAGAGGGGAGTTCCCAGGGAGCAAAGGCCTCAGGCAGAAACTGTGGGGTCTGCACAGAAGTCCACCTGGAGTTCACCTTGGGCAGTTGTGCAGTCAAGATCATAAGGGTCCATCTGAACCATAATGTGAGGGTCCATAAGGCTCAGACTCAGGAGGTCAATAGTGTTGGGATCTGTCTCTTGAATCAGAACACCTGGATCCTTGTCCAGACTCTGCTACCTGGTAGCTGTGTGCCCTCGGTCAAGTTACTTGACCTTTCTTGTCTCATTGTCAGCAGCTGGGGAGAAATGATATGCCCACCTCATGGGGAAGGAGACCACACATCTCAGTTTGCTCAGGAGAATCTTGGTTTATGTTGCTGTCCCTGCATTGCATCCATTTGGTGACCTCTTTCACGCTCCAAAGTACCCCATTTTGGGCAATAAGTTTATCATCAACCTACTCATTGGGTGGTTGTTGTGAAGATTAAAATAGTTTTTCGCAAGTGCCCTGCATTGGGTAAGTGCTTTGTAATTGTTTGCCCTTCATGTTTTATTGAATTTTCAAAACAGGTAAACATGGATTGGTGGTGGGTATTGAGAAGAGGACAGGGCCAACAGAATGTAGACTATGTTTGAGAGAGAATACAGTGCTTTATTTTCAGACTTAGGACTTTGACCTCAGATCAGAACATGATGATCTCTAGATCTTTTAGAGAATGTGAAGGAGATGCGGAGTCTCCAGGGGTCTGTAAAGGTCCTAGTCATCCTTCAAGGTTTATCATATCACCTTTCTCATTTTTATAAAATTAATCACTGGCAGCTGACATGTAGACAGCATCTACTCTCTGCCCAGCCCTGTTCTGAGGACTTACATATTGTACCTCATTCAGGCCTCACGACAATCCTAGGACTGTTCCCAACGTATTAAGAGACACACGGCTGTGAAATCTCTGCAACAGGCTGGGCTCAAGGCAAGGGAGGTGCCTGGCATAGGAATGGCCTGGATAACATGCACAAAGCACATCTCATAGACAACCAAGATGTCCCCAAGACCAGAGCCTTTCCTAAAGTTTCTGTCCTCAGAAAATACCTCTCCACCCATGGTCTAGACTTTGGCAGCTCTTAAGGAAGAAGAGGCTCACCTCCAAAGAACATGCCTGAGGTTAATGTCCCAACAGCCCTGGAGGTGAGGGCAGAACTAGTTTTACAGAATGAGTGAAAAAAAAAATGTGGCATTTCTTACCATAAATACTGCGGGGCTGATATCAGTAACTTACAACTTAAAAAATTTAGATCATCTCAATTTCAAAATAACTGTTTTGTAAGCTTTTGTTCCAATGCACTAGTCACTGAGAAAAAATGGCTTTCACTGAATGTTATTATTTTTATTAAGTATGCAAGGGCTCAAGTGACCAAAATATTCATCTGAGTATATCTCAGGCCTTCTATGAGCCTCTGGACAGGCCAAATATAATTCTCTCTTACCACATGCTTTATCTCTTCCCCCAAGACACTAGATCATTCTGGGTAAAATCGGAATCATTTAATTTTCCCCCATGGTTTGGCATAGTAGGTGATCAACAAATGTCCCACAAACACTCACACTGAAGGCCATTTCACTCCTTAGCTTCTGAATTTAATTTTGCGACCAGAGTCAAAGTTTCTTTTAGGAAGAGAAAATATCAGGCCAGCAACACAAGCATTCTGAATTTTGGTTACTCCTATTTTCCCCTGTCAATGCTGGCTTACAAAAGAGGCTTTTCTGGGCCATGTTATTGTTTCTTGAGTTACCTGAGGTGATCATCATCAGTTGTATGGAGAAAGCACGGAGGTAAAGAAAACACACTTCTTTATTGTGGGCACCATGTGCATGATGTGGGTCGGATTTTTTTGCTGAGTAAGAAAACTCTGAAGGGTCCAGTGTCCCAGCAGGTGACATGGCAGGCCCATAACAAGTGGGGTCCCAGACAGAGCCTCCATTAAGTCCTGGTGAAAGAAACTTTATCCATTTCACTATTAAAGTCCTTCACCTGCCTTTGGAATGAAAACAGCCAGGCAATGTCAACTGAACTAAAGTACACATGTGACAACATCACCTTCTGTGTTTCTAGCATCTTCCTAAATCCGTTTTGCTCTTGGCAAGTTATGCTCCAGTGAAGGACGGCAGCAAAGATGTCCCAAATAATCCAGACAGCAAATAAAGCATTCACAGATAAATATTGAGTCATTTCTCTGGCTCTCTTGTCCATTTGTCTTTTTTTTTTAACCTAAGCCAACTTTGTTTCTCTAGTTCCTGTAACTCTCACAGTATCTCTGCTTACCTGATGTGGCTTTTCTATCTCATGAGGCTGTCCTGTCTCTCTTTTGCCATCAAGAGGGACACATTCTTACCTTGCCAAGTACCATCTGCTCTCTGGTCTCTGTAGTTGCTGTTCCCTCTGCCTAGAAGAACACTGTTCCCCTGGACATCACTATCTACTCGTGCAAGCTTAAAAGTCCCTCCTCCAATAGCTTTGCCTGGACCTCTGTGCAGGACGCTGCCCCTGGGGGTTGTGTTGCTGTTCTTTACACAGTCATTGTGTGATGTCACTCATTTGTAGGCTTGCTTATTGCCTCCTGGTAAGAGGTGAGCTCCACAGAGCAAGGTCCTCCTCTACCGTGTTCCTATAACTGAATCTGTGGCACACAGCACAGGGCCCAGTCATAGGAGAAGCTCATGGTTATTGTTGAACAATGGCTGGCTGACTGGCTGGCTGGATAAAACCTCCAATTTGTTCATGATTATCCTGATTTAGGCCCTGTGATAGACTCTTTAAATAGACTGTCTGTCCTCCTTGTGAAACCAGGCATGGTATCATCTATGCCCATTTTAGAAATGAGGAAAAGGAAGCCCGGAATGATCAGCACTTTAACTTGAACAAGGACACTTCGTGATTAGGTGTTGCATCCAAGATTCAAACCCACACCTGCACGAGCCCAGATCTCCTCACCCTCCACCATTCAGCACTGCCTGCCCTAAGCAATCAGTTACTCTGCTTCTTCACGTCATCCTTTGACTCAGAGGAAGAAAAGTCTTAAAAAGTTAGAAAAAAAAACTAAAGGAAAATTAAATAATAGATTCATAATAGATGAATTTATGAAATTGAGTTAAGTAAGTGAGGTATTCTTTGTAAGAACAACCTTCTGATAGGTGAGACATTAATATTTCCCAAACTTCAAGCACCGGAGTGAAAAAGTGTGTGTGGATGAGGAAGGTCAGCCTCCTGGAGGAGCTGTGTGGTATTGTACTGAGCCTGGGTGTTTGGTAAACCAGCAGGAAGAGACTCACAGGCTGTGATGCTTTTTGTACCTTGAAGAAGGAGAATGAGAAGAGAGAGGAGGAGGAAGATGAGGAGAAGGAAGAGACGATGATGATCACAATAATAATAAAAACCACAAGGATGACAACACAGGCTCACAATGGTGTAATTTGCTTTATTATTCAGAAAGAACGTTAAAATTAATTTGCCCAAAGTCTTGTCTCACTATCGCAGTTCCCCAATTTTTGGGGGCCCAGAAAGGTCTGCCTCCTTGGTTTCTATAAACAGAGCACAGGCTGATGAGTTCTAACTGATTCTTGCTGTCGTTTCCTGGTCCAAGGTGACTCCAGAGTGACTCCCTTCATCCCTGCCACATCAGAGACCCTGGGCCGCCGAAGCGGAGTGCGTGAACTTAACCTCTCTGCCACGGGGACGGTGCCATACTTTTGATTTTTAAAAATATTTTATTAAAATGTTATGTACCCTAACTACTGAGATTTTGGGTGCCCCCTTAAATTGTGTGATCCCTCCTAGACCTGTCCCTGCAAGTGGCAATGTGGTCCATCCGCTCCTTCCCACAATGCCCTTCAAAGCAATGAAGGTTGAAGGGAATGTACCTGTTTATAGGAATAAAGCAAAGCAAGCAAGTTGTCATTGAACCTGAGCTCTCCTTACTTTATCAGTGCCCACAATCCTGTCACCAGAGATGTTAGTGCCACCTCTTCTGTTCAGACCTTAGCAAGTTCCTCTTCCTTCCTGTGCTGAGCCATAAAAAAAGACAAAATCAGGGGCTGGCCCCGTGGCCGAGTGGTTAAGTTCGCGCGCTCCGCTGCAGGCGGCCCAGTGTTTCGTCG